AAGATCTACAATAAGCATGTTCAGCAGGGTTTGTCTACAATCCTGCTGCTCATTCGTAGTGTAGCTCATTTCTCTTTCTCTGTAGAACTCGTGAACTGCATGCTTGCTTGCATTATCTGTCTGTTTTGTAGCGATTGGACATGTCTGTCTCCTGAGTGATCCATGATAGGGGTCTGGTGCAGAATTTCATTGTTCAGACATGCTGCTTTTGACAATTGTATGGGTTTGAATTATGGGCAGAGCTATTTGATAATGGAGTTTTATATGTGAACAATCGTGAGCTCAGGGGTCGATTATACGTTAAGATATGGCCTTCTCCAAAGCATGAGGTGAAATGCTCCTCAAATCTTCTTCTCGAACAACTTAAGCCGATACAGGTGCAGCCTATTGCGTGCCTTCAAGTGGATGACTCCTGCAGTTCAATAAGTTGTGATTTTGGTTCAGGTGCTTCGTTAATATTCAGGTGAAATTAACAGGTATCAATCTCTGGTATTTTGGGTGTGTATTTATTGGGAATCTTAGATGGCTGCGTCTTTGAGGTGAAATGCCTGAAGAGACAGAAACCCACATGACTAATTGCATTGCAGAGCTGGAGGGAGAAAAGCCCTTCCATCGAATTTCGAGCAGGTGCTTGAAAAAACGCTGCTCTGCACCAACTTGTGTCAATAGAAATTCTCTCCACAAATTTGCTGAATCACGATGTTGAGATTTGGATCAATGGAAGTTGTTAATGAATGGGTGTTACATGCTGGTCCTGAAAAAAAATGACTAGTGCTGCAGATTTGCAGTGACTAAAAAATAGAGAGAATATTCATATTGTGCTAGAAATATGTGAATTCAGAAGCACAATGATTTTTGATCTACTGAAAAATTCATCAATGATAATATTACTATTCCAATCTTTATTACAAACCAATAATTAAGATCAAAATATCTTTCAAATTCAACATGTTTTAGATAATTTGATACTAGTTAGCTAAGTGATGAAGGTTGAATATATTTTAAACCTGTCAATGACAAAATTCAATAGATTTATTTCTAGAATACAAATAACTTATACATTATACAGCAGAAGAATTTTGCTAACACAATACGAATACATCACTGCCTAAAACATTATTGATTTTATCAACATTTGAACTTTCAAAAAAATTCTGTTTTACACAAAGTATTCAATTTTCTATTTTCTATTTATTTTTATTTTTCCATTGTAGTGATAATAAATCACATCATTTCTATGCCATCCACATTCTTTCACTACATATTACTTGATTATTTTTAGAAATTTAGAATCTTAAGAAAAAAACCTATTTTATATTTATACATACATACATGCAGCTTAATAGAGAGTAGTTCTTTTAACTAGTACCATAAATTTAAACTTTAAAAGCAGTCAAATATCATTAAGAATGCATTACATGTTTGGAATTCAAACGGTCTTTTAATTATGTCCACAAAAATGTCATGTCACGGCTCCTATGGAGTTCAGAACATTCACAGCAACTCAACCTGGTATTAATTAGGAACTTTATTGAGTTCATCTTTTACAAAGAATTTAAATAGTTTTTTTTTTCCTTTTTTTTCCTTTTTTTATCTTATTCTTAGAAAAAGATAATTTAAAAATTATTTGAATTATGTAGCATATTTTATATCAGTAACTTCCAAAACAAATGTTGGGTTGTGTTCCTCAAAATCTGATATTTGATCAAATTTGGAGACTTATAAGATATTTCTTATATTTTAATTAATTGTTATTAATAAATGATATTTTATTTTTTCATCTCGTCGCTCTATTACACACCATTTCTTTAGAATGGTTTTATATATATAATCTACATTTTCTTGTTCTAATACAGGTTTCATTTTAGTGAAAGAAAAATTTTAAATCACTTTTAATTTTATAAAGTTTAGCATGTTATTCTGTCACAAATTTTGCATTTATTATCAGTTGAAACTTAACATACTTTTAATCAAAACCTGAATATGTAAATCATAATTCAGTTAATCCTCCATTAAATTTGTCGTACTTTCAGAAATTAAAACATAAAAATACATTTTACCATGTGTATGAATTAGCTTCTTTTTTAAAAATAAATTTTCTTATTCTGACAAGAATTTTACTACCTTGTCTTGCATTAACATTTTAACCAACAGCAAAGTCACTTGCATTTTGAATGCAGGTCTAAGTAATTTATTAAAGGCAGGTCAGTTTGTTAGCATTAATAATAAAGTTGATGTTTTTGAATTTTTGATGTGTCTAAAGGAAACATACATTCGTATCTTAAATAGATCCTTTTTTGCAGCAAGTTGGATTGAAAATTCATTTTTTAATTTATAAATATCTAAAATGAATATAAATATAAAACTTGTAATTGTTACTTCGTTGATTAAAAAATGGCTTTGCCTCCTGATTAACTGGCTACTTCCATTCTATGAAATGCTAACACTGTTTTCATGTCTAACTAAATAACATGGCCTTTCATGATATTCTTCAAATATTTAATGACTAAACATTATCCTTGAACTAAATATACATATTTTTTCATGTAGGGTTAAATACCACCTTTTTATTACATATGTATATATATATATATATATATATATACATTAAGAGCTATAAACACTAACTAGATATTCAATAATCCAATGAGGATGACCTAATTTTTTTTGTAGCTATCTTTACACACCACAAGATAAATTGGATACATATATGTATGTGTGAATATATATATATATATATATATATATATATATTTCCACGTAATTTTCTTAAATTGAAAATATAATCTATTCTGTTATTCTAAAAGAACTAAATAAAATGTAGTTAAAATTCATAAACTAATTTTATTCATAAAAATATTTACACAAAGTTCATAAAAATGCTTTATTTAACTAATAAAGTTATCATGTTAAGTTATAAGAGAATATCATGTAATTATGAAATAATTAAGAAATTATTTGTGAAAGAATTAGAAATAAATATCTATAATGTAAGGCTTAATCTACCTAAATATTAAATGAGATTGAAATTAGATCATTTGCTTTAAAATCAGAGTCACGTAATGAACTGCTTTTAAAATTTTAAATAGTTAAAATAAATGAAATTATTATTACAAAATTAATGTGATTTACTTATTTATTCGACCACCTGTGTTGTTAATTTTAACTTTTTAACTTTTTTTAGGATGGATGCACTTAGCTTTTTTAAGAGAAAAATTGTAATTAAAATTATTTCTTTATATTTTATTATCAAATAATGGATGATTTTAGCTCATTTAATAGATTTAAATAGATCTCGTGCATATATATGTGTATATATATATATATATATATATATATATATATATTAAGTGTTAAATATTTTTTATTTGGAAGGATTTAAATCTTTTTAAATATCTGAATTATATATTATTATATATTATTATATATCTTTATTATAGTTTCAGTAAAAAGCTCTTTAATTCTTTTGTAAAACATATATCTTTATTTATTTTTATATTGATGGTATTGTTAAAATTTGCTAAAAATAATTTATTAAGCACATTGCAAAAAAAAGAAAAAAAAAAAAAAGAAAAAAAAAAAGAGGTTTACAGTCCTATCAACAGATTGTTTTATATTTTGAGAAGAAAAATATTAATTAAAGCATATTCACACAACCATTTTGATAAATAAAATTCAACTGGTCAAATTTGTATACACTTTTAGATTTCAAGCACATTCTTTTGAAATTTCTGTAGTTTTTTGACATAAAGAGATTTAAGATGACTTGTAGTGAATTTTTAACGCTTCAAGAATGTAGTTAAAGAAATATTTTAAGTATTAAGAATACAAGATACAAAGTAACTCACTTTCGGCTCTTTTTCATTTACTGAAAGATAAAGGAAAGAATGCAAATGATGTGCAAAAGACAAAGACAAATGCTTGTCATTTATCAATGATTGAAGCTCAAAGTGACCCGGGTATGAAGTTGGTAAACTTTGTTGAACTCTTTAATACTATTTTCTGCAGATTTATTTTATGGGTCATGCTTCGATTGCAATCTTACAGGCGAGGACTAGTGTGAAGAAGTGTATGTTAGGAAAACCTCCTCATTTGCAAAGGCACACATGAATTCATCCAATTTAATCACGTTTTCAAAGTGTTCAAGGCTCTCCAACCAAGTTTCAAAATGCTGAGAGCAAATCCTATTCTTCAATTACTCACCAGAACAATCGCCATGAGATTCATTTCTTGAGATCTTCAGATCAGTATTTCTCTCTCCCTTTCTTATCCACACTAATCTATATGTGTGTGCGTGCGAGTAAATATATGTATATATAGATATCTATATATATATATATATATATGTGTGTGTGTGTGTGTGTGTGTATATATATATATATATATATATATCTGGGTGTTGATGCTGCCATGATAAAAGCAGAGCGAGGGGGAACTGAACGTCACATCTGGGAGCTAGGGAGGGGTGGGGATGAGGGGTACGGGGAGTGTGAGTAGAACTGAGATGGCGTGGTGATGGAGCCTCTCTTTTTGCATGTAAATATGGTTGTCAGTCTTGTTCTCCTGCTATTGCTGCTCGGCAAAGTAGTTCCATGCACACCAGGAATCGCATGAGCAGAAGGTGGATAGGAACCGGTCCAGTCACGCAGCACGGCACCTCGATGGCTGCAAATAAGAGAAACAAAAATGAATGGAGTGTATCATCCGTGGAATCCGTGACTGATCTGAATGAGACAGAGACGGCCAGTTTCAGTGAAGCTGGGTGGCAGCGGGAAGTGCAGAAAAAGATGTGCCACGCGAAACTCACAAAGCACAGGGATCAACACTGACACAGGAACTGCAGCAATACGAGTCTGCCACGAGGGCGAGCAGTTTTGTCCTCAAAGATGGGGATTATGTAAGTTCACCAGGCCGAGGGGCGACAGACAAATCATCGGCACCGGCCATCTCTTTCCGCCCACGGTCCTTAAAGCCTACCTCGAATTCTTTCAGAACGGATCTACTCTTTAATGCTACTGGCTAGGTACTCTCAGATATATCGTCATGCAGAGGGTATCTTGTGCACCAAATTTCATGACTAGGAATCCTTTTATCCAAACGTATAGTCCAGAAAAGCAGCGATGCTTCGCAACTAAATGGAAGATTCTGGTCTGAACCAGAATATTAAATAGTTTAGAAAATTGTAAAATAAGGATAGTCTTGGAAAGATTCCTAGTATTCGAGGCTGCGACAGGAGAGGCGCATATACATAACCCGGCACTAAGTCATCGCCCTCAAGTCTTATGCGCCTGAGTCAGCCGTGCTAGCGTTACTGGTGGATCATTTGGCCTCCAGGTAAGAGCCTTTACTTGGAGTTGCAGATCACCATTAGTCGGACAGTCCTTTGTCCCCAGTGCTGAGCTGCCTCCAAGCTTTCGATTCGGTTTAGCAGCTCTTTGTGAAGCTGTGAATGTAGAGAGCTGTTACTACTGGAGTGTGTTGAAGCATAGCTGAGGCTTGTATGGTGCGGGGGATCCGATTGTGTGCAGAACTTCCACAACAAGCAGCGATTGGAAAATCTTCGGATCAAGCCAAGTGACCCTCTAAAACGGACGAGGCTGGTTTTGCGAGGAAGAAGTTGGAGTCGCGGCAGCAATGTCAAAAGTACCCGTGGGGGTGGAGCCAGGATTTCCTGGAAAGGACTATGCAGACCCCCCAGCAGCGCCTCTCATCGATGCATCTGAGTTCGGACAATGGTCGTTTTACCGAGCCATTATCGCTGAGTTCGTCGCAACGTTGCTATTCCTCTACATTACTATCGCCACTGTAATTGGCGCTAGCCGAAACGCTGGCTGTGCCGGAGTCGGCACTCTGGGCATCGCCTGGGCATTTGGGGGGATGATTTTCGTGCTCGTGTATTGCACTGCTGGTATCTCAGGTACTTTACTCTGCGAGCCTGTCCTTGATCTCAAGACCTGCTCCTCAAATGATTAAGCTAGATTTTACACGATTTTAACTCGAGAATTACCAATCGAGAACCATTCTTCGAAAGCAACATCGGGCAATCATCTGCTAATTCTGGAAACACTTGTGGGCTATGACAGGAGGGCACATTAACCCGGCAGTGACATTTGGGCTACTGCTTGCGCGCAAAATTTCGCTTCCACGAGCGCTGGCATACATGATAGCGCAGTGCTTGGGAGCCATATGTGGAGCCGGCCTGGTGAAGGGATTCCAGCAATCCTTCTACATGACCTACGGAGGGGGAGCGAACGCTGTGAATGCAGGCTACGGCATAGGCACTGGTTTGGCCGCGGAAATTATTGGCACTTTTGTGCTGGTGTACACCGTTTTCTCTGCCACTGATCCCAAGCGCAATGCCCGTGACTCTCATGTCCCGGTTAGTCTCACGTGATGCCAACCTTACTAACTAACCAAATCCAACTTAGACTACCGACCCGCTTACTATCTTTGGTTCCTAGTCTTCGCAATAACAACTCCGCACTAGCAGCCAAAATTTATGAGCAACAATATCGAAGCTTTCGGATCTGTGCACATTGAGCCACTGACGAAAATTCTCTGCTTTTATACTTCGCTGACTAGTGACGCATTTCTCATGAAGTACACCATCTCTAGGGCCATTTGCTGGTTGATATAGATTCTTCAGATTCAAGAATAACTGTGTCACGGATGGATTAGAGCCTCGCAATTATCTTTAATCGCTCAGTGTACAGAACTAAATAACTCGTTTCAGACATGAAGAAAATTACAGGCTGCTAGGTTAAGCTCAGTCATGTCAAAGTGGTCAAAATTAAATCTGTATCTAAGGAAATCGATTTTTCGCATGGTCACAGATTTAGTTGCGTAACCGCGGGTTGGGGCCTCTCATTTCTGCAGGTATTGGCTCCTCTTCCTATAGGATTTGCAGTCTTCATGGTTCATCTTGCTACCATTCCCATTACCGGAACTGGCATCAACCCTGCGAGGAGTTTCGGTGCCGCTGTGATCTACAATCGCAGCAAGCCATGGGACGATCACGTAAGTTTCCTGTCTGATTAAGACTTCCAATCTGTTATTCAAATTTCATATCTAACTTCGAATCATTGTTCTGTACGTGGTCAAAGAGACCAACTTCAGATTGAGCTAATTTTCCGATTATATTCTGCAGTGGATTTTCTGGGTGGGTCCGTTCGTGGGAGCTGCTTTGGCTGCCGCTTACCATCAATACGTTCTGAGAGCTGGCCCATTTAAGCAGCTGGGCTCCTTCCGAAGCGCACCCAGTCGCGTCTAGACTTGCATCTTGCCCCCTCACAAATTCCATCTAAATGAGACGATGCTACGAGGCTTGGGTGAAACATACTATCACGCTTAGAAGGATTAGGACTGTTTTTGGCCGTCGATCCTCGGCTCCTTTCAGATAGGGGTTGTAACTTTAATGATGTGCTTGTGTCACGAAATTGAAGTCGACACGTAGTGACCTACCTCGTACCAATTACATAATACGTCTGCAATCTTGGAAGAGGTCCAGTACCCATTTTCCAGAATGTTGTAAGGGCATTTGCTCCTGTTCAATTGGGAAAAAAACGAGGTCTTCCATTCGCATGAAACATGGTAACTGCCAACAGTTTTGTCGGACTTCACACCATTGTGCTACATTCTGAAGCTTCTATCAGAGGTTTCAATCAGGAGCTATTATGTTGGATAGTCAAAGACTCAAAAATCATATCCTCACCGTTCCTGGTCCTTGTTACATCAAATACCAGGGTTGAAGCATGACGAAGAACACGAACAGTTCTAGAGCGCTGATAAGCAGAAACACAACAGAACCGTAAAGCTAGATAGAGAGACTGGGAATGCCAACAGGCGGAGAGAAACAGACAGTAATATGTTAAGGGAGGGAGGGGGGGAGGGAGGGAGAACATGGAGGAGCAGGAGGGTTAAACAAAACAAGGGAATTCAATTATGCAGCAGCAGCAGGGTCGGAGAGAGAGAGAGAGTGGGAGTGTGTGAGTGTGTAATCCATCACAACAGAGCTACTACTTTAGTTACCTACTCACCCACTCACTCTCTCTCTCAGCACCATTACAATGTTGGAATGTGCATGATGACTAGACTCTCTCAAAATCTCAATCTCAAACTTTCAGTATCTCTCTCTCTCTCAAGTTGTGTTGTTGTGTTCGTTTGGTATCACCGCCACAGCCCACGTGGGCTGTTGACCGTTGACCCTGACATGGATGCATGCCCCCCTTTCCCCGACCCTATGTCCCAGGGAGGGAGCTCTCTAGACCCTCGCCAAGTGAGCCCACATATTATGCCATCTGCAAATGTACACACCACAACAACAATCTCCAACCCGCGTTCCCCTCTGTTCCCCGACTGAGAACATGTTCCTGCTGCCACTGCCTCTTGGAAACCCGTTGGGAACACGTCAGCTCTGCTGCCAACTTGGCCGTTATAACTACTCCAATTTTTTTTAATCTTATTTTATTTTTTGGATCCTATATCATTATGTGACTACAATCTCAAAAACTGCTCCTCCTCTTGACCACCACCAAATAAAAAAGATAAATAGAGACTTTTTATTTCAAAAAAATGTACATATGACATTTTGATCTAGTACTTCCATGATGGAGTAAATAGAAATTTGGGTATAGACTCTATAATATATGTCAAAAAAATCAAAAAACAACGTTAAATTTTTAGTTAATTTCGACTTTTATCGAGCCTTTAAAAATATTTTCATGATAAGTATATGTGCATTTATATAAATAAAAAACAGGGCATGATGAATTCGCTTAAACGATTAACTGATTTTCGTAAAAATATGTTGAAAGGTAAAACTTACTTGATTGGCTCTTAGAATGTCAGAATTGTATTGATTTTCAATTAATCGTATCATTGACTGTAAGTGTTCATTAATTTTAGATCATTTGCATATATTTTCAAAGATATTCAGAAAACTACAGTTGTCGCATTTTTTGCTAATTATTATTCAGTACTGACAGAAGAAGAAAAAAATCCCTGAATTTCAATAGAAAATTTTAATTTTGAATGGACCGTATTCATCCAATAAGATCATCCAATGGTACTCTGTTGGTTGTAACAATCAGTACTAACATCCGTCCAACTGCAAGACATGGCACGCACTCCTACGAAGTTACACCAGTTCAAATAAATCATTCGTCCGATGGAGCATGTGGATGAAAGAAGGCGCCTCTCTTGTCAATTATAATACAGTGGCAGCTCCATCGGGTCCACGTCATGGCCATGGCGTTTCCGATACGTGCCACGTTGCAACAGAGTTTTGCTAGGTGGATCGATAATCGGCCAATGTATAAGTGACAGCAGAGCAAGGATCTCGAGAGGATCAGAGATTGGCCAGCTGGTTCGAGAGAGAGAGAGAGAGAGGATGAATGTGGCGGGATCCACACGGAGGTGCAAAAATAGAGGGAGCGTCATGAGATGCATCCATCCAATTATCTATCCATCCATCTATTATCATTTTCTTCTTCTACTACTACAGTGTTCTACTGTGGGGTGGAGGGCTATTCGGTTCCCCACGATCCCACGCAACAAGAGAGCAGTTCCCCAGCTCGGGTGAGCACGTTCTCGATGGAGTGGCTCAGGTACACACAGGCAGGAAGCCAAGCCAGGTGGGTGTGGTGCAGGTGTAGTTCCAGAGGGTGGCAGCCTGTGCTGAGCCTGGCTGCCTGGCTGGCTGGCTGTCTTTCTGTCCGTCTCCTTTTTACTCTAAATGATGCCATTCTCACTCTTCTCCACCTTTTGCTCATGGTACTCCGTTTTCTACTACTTTCTTCTTTTTCCAGTGAACGCTTTTCCTGTATCAACAAAATGACACACCGATTATGATAAATGAACACAATATACTCTAAAGACCGTTGTTTTTAAATGAAATAACAACGGGAAAAAAACAGACAAGAACAAAATAAGAAGTGTTTTTATTATGTCATTCAACAGCATATTCATCCGTCTAGCTTTTTGGTACCATGAAGTTAAAAGTTTGAATGGGTGCACAGTAAGATAATCATGTCCAACAAACTAAAGATTTTTTCATTACATATTTGTATTATCTTTTTGTGCTGTTCAAAACAGTCCATTCATGTATGTACGTATACATATACAAATATACATATACAAATATCTGAGGATTCGATGAGTTGAACATACTTATTCAAAGGTACCAACTTACCACTTCTTTAAGGATGTTATTGATATTGAAACGAAATAAATTTTGCAACAAATGTGAAAATATTTTTAAATAGTTATAGTTAAGTATAAGTCTTGTGAGAGTGTAGGCTTTTTCTATGTACACTACATAATTTATAACCAAAAGCCAGTTTAAAAAACTTCATGCAAGTGATTCAATTTCCATTCATATTGCAAAACAGTCTTCCTTATTTACTTGACCAGTAAAACACATATATTAAAACGATGAATAACTTTGCTATAATGTGGGCAATACTAACAATTTCAATATTGTACGTAAATTAATTAATTACTGTTATTTTACAACTTCAATAATTTCTGTTGTAAGCTATCAAGTTTTGTTCTGTGAAAAGAAAACAAATGATTGATAAATGTAGTATGAATAATATAACCATAGAAATTTTAAAAATAAAATCAACAATCAAATAGTATATACATATACAAATATATGAATACGTACATTTTTTTTATTATTGAAAAATCACTATATGATCTTTAAAATAATACACTTTGATTTTTAAATACTAAAAAGAAACCAACAGGAACTAACAAGTTTTGTAGGGTCTCAATCATAATCTTTAAAGTTTGATTGTTTTATTTTTTAATGATGATAACTTTATGATCATGTATTTACAAAATGTAGTCACATAGATTTGCTACTTAAATCAACTTGTTTGACTTGCCACTATTATGAGTAAATAAATTAAAGTCAAACACAATTGAATAACAAATAAAATGACATGTAGTAAGAAATCCATTTGCTACTAAAATTTGTTAGATCCCACTATTTAACAATAATAATATTACAAAGATTCTTTAATTTGGTTTATTTTTTCTAAATTAATGAAAATTTTTAAAATATTAAATCACAAAGTATTTATGACATTTTTCTTTATATAATTTTTTGGCATTTACTTATTTATTTATTTAAAGTTTTATTTTATCTACTACTAGTTACAAGGTTTTGCTAAGAGATTGTGTATACATTGCTATGCCTTTTAAGTCTATGTCAAGGACATGAATCACAAAGAATCAAAGAGTCAATACTCTCTTGTATCACCACACAAGAGTAGATAATCATTCAAAGATGGTATAATATTAAAACTAGATTGGCTATTGCCAAAAATAAGAAGACTAGAGACTCTTAAAATAAGACTAAGAATAAGAAAGACATTGATATGAGTGAGAAAGGCATTACTCTTGCCTTTATATACACTATCTTACTAAGAGTTACATGACAACGTTCTACAAGACCTTTAACATGTATCCAACTTGTAAACAAGTTTTTTAAATATGTATCACTTGGCTAATTTGTTGGCCAAGTTTTCATTCTACTACTCACCTATAGACAAATATACAGTCAAAGTTGCATTTAGAAGATATTATCAAATTTACTTACTTTTACTTACTTCTATATAATTCCTTTAATGTAGATAAATATATGTTTGTGACAATTTGACATGTTCATTTTTTTTTTTTTTTTTTTTTTTTTTTGTAGGTTAATTAAAAATTAATTAATAAAAATTACATGATAAAATGATGTGGTATATGCAAATATTTTAAAATTTATTGACTAATTATAAGGTTTAAGAAAAAATACTTAATAAATTAATGTTTAAAATTATATTTTATTTTAGAAAAATTATTTTAAAATTATTTTATAGATTAAGATTTTATAATAATTATCATAAACATTTTAGATAGGTATGATTTAATTATTTTATTCTAAAACGATGTTGTAGAAATTATTATTGTTTTAAAATAATCTTTTAGATTTTTTTTAATTAATTAATTAATTAATTAATTAATTAATATCTAAGTAATTATATTTTAATAGGCTTTTAAAATACATATATATTTATATATACACAAAAATTAGGCATAAATTAATTTTTGAAAAAAAAAGAATAAAGTTTCATTTGAACTTGGTTAGTTTTTCTTAATTACATAACTATTCTATTGTTTCAATAATTATTAAAAGAAATTACTATTAAAACGTTTTAGCAAATTATACAAATTTTCATAGTTTGTATAAAAAAATAAAAAAATAAAAAACTGTGATAATCATCATAACAAATTTAATATTCTGAATTTCTTTATTTTAGGTGTATTTTTAAATATAGTTCTCCTTTAAATATTACAATACGAATTTGAGCATCAATTTCATACAAATATATAATGTTGGTGAGATTTAGATGAATACAGTTTGAATATATATATATATATATATATGTGTGTGTGTGTGTGTGTGTGTATAAATAGTTATTCACATGTTGGAAAGATGAATTTTATATAAGTAATAAAATAATATTATTATTACTATTTTAAACTTAAAATTTTTCTTTTGTCTTGTTTGTTTGTTTGTTTGTTTGTTTTTTTGTTTTTTTTTTTGTTTTTTTTTCAAATATTAAGTGGTCTATATCATGTTAAGGTTTTTGTAATTTATTCTATTTATTATAAACTAATAGCAGCATAATAAATTATTATAATACCTGATACTTTTATTTTTCAAAGTAGAATAGAATAGAGCAAATTTTAAATTACAAAGGTACATGACTGCTTTTATATAAAATAAATAAATAAATAATAATATAAGAATCAGTATGAATTTTTATATTTTTAAAAAACTATATTTAATTATTCTATTCTTATGTTTTTTTTATAAAATATTTTTTATATTTTGTATCTAGAAAGAAAGATTTTATTTTATTTATTTAAATTTTTATTTATATATTTTTTGAATATTTATTTAAAAATATGTACCAAATACATATATACATATATATATATATATATACACACATATTGAAATTTATTGAATATTATGTCAATAATAAACTTTAAACATTACAATGTAAATACATATTATATAAGACCCTTAATCATTTTCTAATCTTACATAACTTTTGTTTAACATAGCTGGTGTTTAAAATAGGGAAGCTATTTCTTGAAATCTTTGGCCTCTAGAGTTAGTAATAAATTAGAAAAAAATATAATTTATACAAAAATATTATTCAATTATGATTCTAAATAATAAAACAATTATTCGAAATCTTGTCTTTCTAGTTTACTTCTCTACTTTTATGTCAGTCCTATTTACATTTCTATATCTTATTTTTCAACTTATAACTTGTATTTATCTATTTATTTACAAAAATTTCAGCACCATAGAAAAGAGCAGAAAGAACTTGTTGTAAAATCAATATATTGGTTCTTGTACATGGTAATGCAACATGTTATCAATATCTAAGTTTTATTGGTACAATGAAAATGTAACAATTAACACAAGTTTTCTTTTATAACTTGGCTGTAGGAGATTACTATATATATATATATATATATATATTTAAATACATATACATATATTGTTTTGAAAGACCTTGAGGTTTTGCAAATTAATGTTTGGTAGAATTATATGAAATGAAGATATTTAATGTTACATTAGATTGTTAAATTATTGTACGGGATATTAAATACATACATACATATACATACATACACACACACACACACATATATATATATATATATATATATATAACAGGAATTTTCATACACAAATAGATAATAATTTGACTTCATATACATGAGATAGATTGTATAGAACAAGAAAATTGTTTTGAGTAATAAAGAGTATATCATTAGTAATCATAAGCAACCTCTCCTTCCACCAAGCACATAGGGCTTCTCAGTGATCATTCTAATCTACAAGCTTTGCTTGCAGTGGGAGTTTTTGTGCCGGCTTTGCAGAGTTGGGTGTTCTCAGCCTCCGTAACCAACGTTGTGTGCTGATTATCCTGGAATCCCCATGCATGTTCTTGCAAAGTGCCTCATGAAAAGACTTGAATGGTTTGTACCTCAGAACAATTCAATCCTCAACCCAGTGGAACATTCGAAGGAACATGGTAACAACTTATATTCGGCAAGGGTCGAAAAATTTTACCCGATACATATAACAATACAAAGCGTATGAACTCATCACAAGAGACTAGGATATTTTTTAGACTCCTTACGTCTTTTTGATGCTATGTAACAAAATCGCTAATTCAACTGCCAAAATTGAGGTTTAAAAGCAGATTTAAGCCACGGTGAGACTGCGTTTCGATCAACGCTCACACCACCGATACGAGTTAATACATAAGTGTATCAAAGTGTTTCACTTGCCGTCCGAAGACCAACCAACCAGAGCAAACTAATACCCGTCAGGGCGTCATTTTGGTCCACACTAGATGCTTCTAGATGAGTGACACTGATCACATCAAACCTCGGACACTCTACAACTACAGGCTACAGCTGGAGTGCATCTGGATTATTGAGAAGCAACGGCGGTGACGAGGGGCTAGGACCCATAGCCTGGGCTCCCAAAGAGCCTTCTGTCGTTCGAAGTGGCTTATCGATCGACATGTAACTTATAAATTCTCACACTTGGTGATATGTTTGCATGGAGTCTATTCTGAATGTGAAAGTGCGGATGATCCCATTTCAAGCTAGATTCACCTGCACAACCTGCAGAAAAGTGAAACATTGATGGTAAGAAGGGACGTAAAGCTGCTCATAATATACAGCTGACCTAAAACAAGCCCACTAGCAAATATCACATCGAATAAGCAGACTACATAACCCAGAAAGGACTACTGATTTCGTGGACGAAAACAATATAACTATGTCAAGTCCTAGTTTGAAATAATTATTTTTACCAGTAAGAAGCAGAAGAAACCATGAAGCATCTATGTACATGACAATGAATGAAAAGAACGAGTGACGCATTTACCTTCTTCCGTGCTGGGGATCTGTTGCTCAGATAGCCATCTGCTAGGGCATGGGAGGTATGACTTAGAAGAGAACATGCAGCGTGATTCAAAAAAGAAAATAAATAATAAATAAAGGGAGAGAAAGAGATCTCAGCTACTACTCTATCACATTTGAAACCTTCACAGTACTTTGCTTTTTATTAATTAAGATCCACATTAGCACCTCGCTAATTCTCCGGACTGACAATGATAGCAGAGTACTCGAGGTGCAATTGTGAATATAGCCGTTCATATTTGCATACCCAAGCTGTAATGACGTCTGTGATCTTTGCGCCTGTAGAAGGTTGGGATGAGGGTAGACTGATGCTGCCAGCTGCGAACTCACACTCATATCTCGTGAGAAATCGCTGGCGAACGGTTTGGGGCTTTCTAGCCGAGCATCCGGGAAATTAGCTCGAGCTGCTGCTTCCGCAGCACCTTCAGCGTCTGCAATCTACGGCATCATAGAAAGAGACGCATAACGCAACAAACGAAAGTCAGTTCCACTTCAAGAGCAACTCTTTTACAACCTTGGGCTTGGACCTATCATGTGTAACTCCTATAACGACCAAAAAACTAACATAATAAGCCAAAAATAAACCTCACAAATCACAAGAACACCCCACAAACAGAAGAATCATGTGTAAAATCCCCAGCCACAGGCAAATACCTTCTTGCGAAGAGCCTCGTTTGCAATCATCAGTTCATGCTCCTGTGAGGAAGAAAACATTATAGTACATTGTAAGAGAGACAAAGTGTAACTTAGCAACACAAGAAGAACAACCGCACCTGTAGTACACAAGTAAAAATAGCTTAGTCAGCAAACCTTTCTCCGCAAGTCTTCGATCTCTTCTAAAATGAGTTGATTCTGCGGTTCCAGTACATAACCACGTTAGTTCCACTTTTCGGATGCAACAGGATTGATTGTAAACTTATATTAAAAAAATGTTTATTATTACTTGGCTTTTTTCTTTTTTTTTATTTTTTTTCAATGAAAAAATTAAAAAAACATCACGTCGTGCTATCTCTTCAAGTTAAGGAAAAAGAACGCTGACCCTAAGTGGATCTCAGTTTCTCGCCTCTAACTAACTGTGGCAGTTATCAGCACGAAATCGAGAAATTACGTTCGATTGCAACTTATTAACTTGCCTTCCTTGCTCTCACTCGTGAAGCACCCTGATCAAGCTGCTGCTCCAGCTCCAAAAGGTCAGATACCTTCAAAGCTGAAAGATCCTCACCAAGCATATGCCTGCAGAAAATATCACACTATCTCAGTTTGATTGATCAACTATATTGCGACCTGAATGGATCAAAACATCAATGAAGTGCTCAAAACAAATCTTCATGTTTGAGGAATCTGAAGGGAAACATTTCAAGGCCCTAAAACAATGACAGAAGCAGCCACACTCACGGGGAAAATTAAAAAGAAACAAGTGTCAGCATTCGGAAGAGAAATAACCTTTGAGAGCTTTCCAATCGTTCTACTTGCTGTTTTAACTTAATCACCTCCCGACCAAGTAACTGTCAAATTCCACAGAATCGTCACAAGAACGCAAGGCAAATAAGCTCGTTCTAAGATTCTATGAGAATATCATGCAAATGACATTTCTCTGTCTAGTGCGCTGGAATCAGGGCCAGGGAGGAAGCCCTACATCAGTATTGGTGCCACGCTTCACTGCACCATCCGAGCTCTTCCTGTACCGCTCAATGATGTCCCGCATGCTGCACAATTTCACAAGCTTCCCTAACATGTCAGTATGATTCACCTACAGGATGATGCAGCAGGGCGATTCAATCAAAAACCATAAACACTACATGAGAACCCGACGACTTCCAATTGCCGCCAGTTTTCCAGCTGCGGGAACGTGTTTCCCATTGTTGTACTGTCACGACCTTCACCTCGCACTTCCCATGCCTCAGTAACCTCAATTCAATGTTGTGATCTCAGAATTCAGTTCCATTGTCACAAATAAGAATAGACTGAATTATGGCAGATATTTGGGGCACTATCTCTCGTGCATCTAACTGAATCTACTGAAATAGAGCAACCTTGCTCATCTATCAGAACAGGGCATAAAGTAACAACGTGGAGCAAAACTTGTGCAGCTGACAATCGAAAAAACGTACAGACCACATATCCAGAGAATGCGCCACACAAAGTAAGATAAATTTGGCAAATTGTGAAAAGATGCCACTGAATAAGAATTTCAGTAAGACTACTGTATCGCAAGCGGGCAAGATTCAGAACTACTCATATTTTACAATGGCTTTCTGAAATAAGCTAAAAAACACAGTGCACAGAAAGAATTACGGACACATTCAGAGCAGTGCCGTCTCTTAGAGTTGCAGAGAGCAGCGTCGCTAAAATTTCTACCTGCCTGAACTGGCAAACTCAAAGTGCTTTCCAGTGCTGGAGAAAATAACCAGCGCCACCTCGGCATCACACAGAACCGCAAGCTCGTGCGCCTTCTTCAAAAGACCACCGCGCCTCTTGGAGAATGTCACCTGCCTGCTGGTTGTATTCTCAATCTTCTTGATCTCAATTTTGCCGCGACCCATAACCCCACCCTTCCGCCGTGTCGACTCAGTGCTCGAATCACCCTTCCCGCTCGACATCCCGAGCGACAAACACGTTGGCACCTCACAATCCTCGTCCAGAATCTCCCCAACAGACAACTCTTGCGTCGCCGTGGCAGTCGAGGGTGCAACCACCCCGAACTGCCATTGATCGGAGGGTTGTCCAGACGCTGTAGTCATCATCCATAGCCAACTTCCCCAGCCCCCTCGTCCTACGAATCCGCACCTAAGCTAAGCAAGCAAACCCAACAGAGCCGCTCTGGCATCACTCAAAGGAATCTGAAGGCAAGCTGGTTGGAGTCGCACACGAGAAGACCTGTCCAAATCAAGAGGTGAGAGGAGTGCCATACCCTCCTCCTCCACCTCCTGCTCCTGATGAATCTAACAACAGACGACAAGGAGAACCACCTCACATAGAGGAGGAAGAGTGCTGCCTTGCCAGTGACGACTCATTATTCCATTCCAGTGCTGCCTTCCTTCCTTCCTTCGGGAGCCCAGAAGCGCCTGCGTAGTGGTGCCAGATGATGATCTGGCCAACACTGTGGGGTGGGGTGGGGTGGACTCTCCTCCCCACTGATCTAGAGAATGCACGCCTCCCTGACGAAAAGGAATCTCGCTTGCTGCATTCAATGGAGCCAGCCAGCCAGCCAGTCAGCCAGCCAGCCAGTCAGCCAGCCAGCTGCCGACACCCGCACGTATCACCAAAACTCTCCAGCTTCAACCCATGCACTCCCAATTTCCAATGCCCGAACATTATTGAGAAAGGCTGGCATTTATGCCAGACGCACCATATTTGGGCATTGGTGAGCGGGCGGAAGGAAGGAAGTGTGGGAACATCCATCCCTACTTATCATCTACTCTAGATGATCGTGATAGGACGAACTGAGATCCGGACTTAGCGCCGAACAGTATGTAAGTCCCATGTTTTATTTTTCTAGTATCTCTGTTTTATTCTTCTCTCATGGTATCAGAGCGGAAGTTCTTTTCATCTTCATTGCTAGTTTTTTTTCTTCTAACATTACTTACTTACTTCCCTTGGTTGTGATACTAACCATTGACTCATTACAGCCTTGCAATCGATACACATTCTAGATCAAGTATTGTTTTTTCTCTCCTCCTGATGCTACTTGATATTATCTTCTTGTCACATCGAATAATATCACTTTGAGATCCAGCGGACTCTCGTTTTTTATAGGCTCTCATTCGTATTATTTCCAGAACTAGCGTTTATTTGTCTAGATCCATTGAGCAAGATGAGTAACTTAGAAACGATTTGCTCAAAAGAGTCGATGCTCACCTGTCCGAAAAATTCCGAGCATTGGGCTATCACTCTCCAGAGCATATTTGAAAAAGAGGATTTGTGGGACCTTATCGAGCCACAACAGATTACCACTGCATCGTCATCCACAGACCTGCCATCAAACACAGAGTTCAAACAGCCTGACACAAACATCACTCGATGGCAAAAGAGACGAGCAAAAGCCATGATTTAACTCTCATTCACTCCAGATCTGTGCTACAATACAATCGATATCCCAAATCCACATCGCTGGAAGCAACAGGATGTAGCCACCTTCATCCGCGACATTATCCGCGACCTGAAATCAATCAAGCAGGTACCATCTAATGAGGTTATCATACCATGATTATTCCAAACATCCTTTCATAGACTCACTTGAACCAAGTGATCAAGAAATTTTCTATGCACTAGAAGCACTCACTATCAATTCAAAAGAATCCGATTGAATATTAGATTTTCGAATATTTAAGTATTTCTCAGGAAATTATATAGCTTTTCATGAGATTAATCATTCTCAAGGATCCATCATCACCTATCACCTCTATATTTGGCCACTTTCATGTCATAGCAAGACATGAAATTGACAATCTCTCCTTGCTGCAAAATATAAACTCTAAAGAACCTTTGTTGTATGCCTATATTACTTAGAAATATTCTATTTATAAAAAAATTATTAATTTAGATATTTTTTTATTTTTATTTTTATTTTTTTCACTAAAAAAATGTAATGTCATCTCTATCAACAAACTACACCATATAATTGCAAAGGGTTCTAGAGACAAAAACAATGGCCTCTATAAACTTGACTATATTAACAACTATCCACCTCTTTGTAAAAGCTATGAGACCTTCAATCTAACAAGCTTGCTGAAGCATACGGTGTTATGATGTAACACTACTAATGAATGAAAGAGAGAAGAAAATATCATATTATTGAAGATCCTATTTTAAAATATTATAGTAAATTATTTTAGAAATATAGATAATAGTAAAAAAGATAGTAAAATTAAAAAATACTAATATTGCCTTTTTATAAAATAGGTTTCTATTTATTTTGTAGGACCATAAATAAGACAAAACAAAGAAGATTGGAAAATTAAACAATATAGGCATGTGTAGGAGGAAGTTGAGAGTAGATTTTAGTGAACTTATCTCAAGAAGTCAAGAATTGATACTTGAAGAGGATCAGTTGTCAATCTAAATTGAAATCAAATCTTGAGGCACAAAACCACGTATTTTAGGTGACTCTAGGATTTATTAGTAGATCGGAGAGTGGGATTTGAGAGCAAAATTGAGGAAAGATTTTTAAGCATTGGTTTCATGTCATTTGAGTCAATATTGAGATTTTGAGGGATTTTCAAAGTTAATAATGTTCTTGGTGGGATTAAAGTTTGAGAAATAAAAACACATTTACAAATTTGAGGATTTTTTGAGTTCTATGGTATGTGTACAAATGAAATTTGGATAATGTTTTGGTATACTAGTTGTAAATGTGAATGCAAATTTTGAGATTAATGAAACAATTAGATTGAAGTATATGAAGGTTTTTCTAGGTTGAGGTCTCAAAACTTGGAGTTTGGGGATTAGCAAGTGTTTCTAAGAACTTTAACAATTTTTCAATTGGATTGAAGTAAGATTTTTTTATATAGATATTATACTTAGTTTTCAATGGTTAAGTGAAATTTGAGATTAGTTCAACATTTCAAGAAGGGAATATTCATGTTGGAAGTTTAACATTTAGGTTGAAGTAGGATGCCACCTAATACCCAATTGGATTATCTTACATTTCTCTCAATTGGTAAGTGCAATCAATTTCATCTTTCTTATGCTTGTTGCTAAGTAAGACATTAAAAAGTATGCAAATTTTGAATTAATATTAATAATTTGATCATTAGTTGTTGAGGTTCTATTTTGCTATAGGATTTGTTATGAGTTTGTTTAAGATTTAGGATTTGGTCTAGGATTTGGCTAGGATTAGGATTTGTTTAGGATTTGATTTAAGATTTGATTTAAGATTAGGATTTGTTTAGGATTAGAAACTTATTTAGGATTTGTCTAAGATTTAAGATTTCATTAAGATTTTATTAAGATTTGACCTAAGATTTGGTTAAGATTCAATTAGGTTTTCAATTAGGATTTGACTTATGATTTGGTTATAATTTAATTAAGATTTCAATTAATTTTTCTATTTTTAGTATTTTAAAAAGAATTCTTTGTATGTCTTTTGTAACTTCTTTTAAATTTAATTTGATAAGTTAAATATAATCTATATATTATTTTTCATTATTAAATAATACATTATGAATTCTTACAATGATTCTACTAAATCACATTATCCTTTAGTATCTTGAAATATAAATAAATGTATGTATATATATAAATATAAATATATATATGTATATATGTATATATATAATATTTAATATCTATATTATTTTAATTTATAAATAATATATTCCTACTATTATTAATGTATTTTAATATTTATGATTTTTACATCAATGTATATTTTAGTTCTAAAAAGAACATAAAAATTACGATTTATATTACAAATACTATCAATTTAGGTCTAATTATATACATAAGGGAACAAAAATATATTGTATAGTTTTTTTTGATGTTCACTAGATAAAAAATTAAAAAAAGTTAATGATTTTCTTTACACTAGTATTATATTGAATTTATAAAAAACTAAAAGTTAAATGGATGTATTATTTTCTATTCAAAATATCAAAATTCATGTTATAGAGGGAAAAAATGCATTACACCTCACCTTTTTTTTTGAACTTCTCGCCTTGTCCCCTGAATATAAATATAAGGACTCCCTCAAATTTCTCAAAATTATAAAGTACTAGAATAAAAAAGTGGTAAGAAAAAAAAATATATGACCACTAGAACAATAATGAAATTGAAGTAAGGGAATCATGACTCCATCAAACAATCTGATGATGGAACCAGGTGTCACGAAATATGAAAGCCAACTGCCATCACTGCCATCCAGTTCTGCACCAGAACATGGCCGCAGAACAAAAGCACCCCAACCCCAATCCTGAGGGAGGGAGAGAGAGAGGATGTCTCCAGTTCAGATTCGTGTATCCAGGAATACACATGCACAGACAGCGCACATTACAGTGAAAGGAAGGAAGGAAAGCCCCACTGAAATGTAATGAAGGTGGGAATTGGTCCTTGAATTGCACCAACTCTAGACCAATCCAACATGGATAAACCGGGCGTGGAATACTTCCTGTTAACTACGAAACAAATGGCATCAGTTCAAGAGTTTTCAGGTGCATGGGGTTTGTCGGGTCCTCATCGAGAATCTTGAACTAGATTCAGTGTCAGATTACTCTCTGACTTGGACAGAAGGAAAATTTCTAGGAGTATTTGCAGAAATGGACTCAGAGGTTTTACTTCCTCCTCCCCCGCGTGGCAGACGTGAATCACTGGAGCTCCACTTCGCTTCCAGGGGACACTTGATGAGCACTGCATTCATGTTCTGAATGCTTGCTTCTGCTGCTGCTGCTACTGCTGCAAGGGGATCCACACACTTACTGGTGCATCATGTCACCCAGGGTGGGTATGTGTGTGTGTATCAGTATTGACAACCCAACCACACCAATGGTATCATGTCCTCACTCCCAGACTCAGAACCTCTCTCCAACCCCTTGCTCGAATCGCTGGCAGGGTTCACATGATCCCAACCATTGGTGCAGTACCACGAAGGTCAGTCCCAGCGACTGCAAGTTTCTACCCACTACATTCCAGGGCAACGACCCGGTGGCGCATTAAAGTAATCGCTAGTCCGCTGCGGGTCTTCTGACTTGCGGAACACGGTGCTTGTGTCCAACCAGATTCTCAGTTCCAGTTTTCCACCGCAACTCAACTGCCGCTCAGTTGTAAGGTTAGAGCCACACATCAGATCCGTGTTGTGTGTGGAGGGGGTTGTGGTCCCTCGATACACGATTCATTCTCCGCAACAACTCCTGCTCGGGATTTCGCTTTACCTTTCTTGCACGCATCCCCAGGAGCCTTACCTCTTGGGGGCCTGCAGGAGCTCCGTTGCAGTTGTGCTCCAGATATCCAGTTGTGGAGTCAATTTTTCCCTCTCCTCGCCCCTGGAACTAAAGACGACCCAACTTACTCCCTGGACGATTCATGCACTTCGTTGCAACACTGGCACATCCCACAACCAGTGAAACAACAACAACAGGGTTTCCATCTCGATTCAATCCACCTCACAGGTTCTCAAGTGCACTTTTCAAATGTTGCTGTTATTTCTATTTCTGCACCAAGACAGACAGTAAGACAAGCTCCGCTTACAAGCACTGTTGCGGAGTAAAATTCCATATTGATTATTCCTGCATCTTTGATTTCACTTCCTTGTGGTCAATATCTTTCAAACATTCAATCTCCAATTGTAATCCAACAACTCCCTCATACATGTGTT